GCTCACGATAGAGCACAATTGTCACTTAATGTTACCTTTCAGTAACTGTCCTCACGACTGCTTAGAAGTCCCATACTACAATGAAACAGTTGTCCAGTGCTTTCAGGTTTCTTTTATTCCTCCAACTGATGTCAGTCTACAGAGAATAACAACTTGAAATATTTCCAAATCTCCACAACTCCCTTAAAATTCAATGAGTTAATTAGTAAATAAGATTAAAATGAATAATTGAGTTATGAACCAAGTTATAAACGAATTTCTTAAGTAAATAATAAATGTAGGCGCCAAAAAGATAATTTGTTAAATCTTCAATATGTCACATTTAAGACAGTAATTATTATAATCTATTTTCATGTGTAGGTGTTAAGTGATAAATCATATTGTCTAGATAGGAAATTAAAAATCGATTGAATAACTCATTTTACACTGAAGATTTTCTTCTATACTATACTCATTAAAAAATATTTTGGTTCCTATTAACTCTTCATCAATGAATTCAATCTAATTTATACGTTTGTTTTATTAAAAACAACAATAAGTCATATTGAATCCATAAAATAAAGATGGAAGTGAAGATAGATTGGGCGTACACTGAGAAGGTCGATTGGGGACATCATGCGTCAATCCAGCCATTAAGTGGAAGGCAGATGGAAAACGGCGAGTTGAGCATCCCAGCTGAGGATGATATATAGGAGATCGTGTGAGGAGGAAATGAGAGTTTGTGGACTGTCATGGAGCCAGGTTCAAAAGATTTCAGAGAACAGAGCGCATTGGAGACGTACTACTGAAGCCTATGTTCCATTAGGAACCCGAAGGAATGAATAAATAGATGGTTAGCAGAGGAATCCACGAGTTAGATTAAGTCAATTTTAGGACACTTTACCTGAATATACCCTCATAGAAATGAATGATGTTACTGTTACTAGGAGTCGAACCTTGAAACTTCACTGATTAACGATAACCACTCATTGTGCGACAAGTAATAACATAAAGACAGTGCCGAAATTCCTCTTCTCTGTATGCGTTTATAAGTTTAACTGTCATTGCGAAGCTTTTTACTTTAGAAGTTGGATTGATCAACTTCATTGTTTCACTTATGATACTAATTCTAGTTAATCATACCCATAAAGTAAGAATATACTATTGAGATTCATTGCGGCCAAACGAACCTGTATACCGAAAAGTAATTTGTACAGCGATTTTTCTCGATCATCCCATGTTATATAATGCTTAGTTCATGCAGATGAGGAGAATGACATTTCCTTCATAAATTTCACTAGGATTTCTCAGGACCTTACCCTATCAAAATTGTTCTGTAAATACCAAAATGCAACGACAGCATGCATGCATGCATACATACATACACACATGCATACATACATACACACATGCATACATACATCCATACATACATACACACATACATACATCCATACATACATACACACATACATACACACATACATACATGCACACATACACATATACACACCTACATACACACATACACATATACACACATACATACACACATACATACATACATACACACACATACATACACACATACATACATACATACACACACATACATACATGCATATATACATACATACACACATACATGCATACACAGAAAGGACCAGGACATTGAATGAGAAACGACACCACAGTGAATAATATCAACACACATTATACTATTGACTGCCTTGAGAAATGTTAAGTCATTCAAAGAGACCATTATTGTTGACTAGTCACATGTATGTTATCTACACACCAGATAGATATTGCCCTGGTTTGTGATCGAGTTTATCAATGGTGGGCCTGAATTGATTTATAATACATTTGAAAAGATTGAAATCTGAATAATTTTTGAATAAAGCAAGTTAATATCAATTAGGAAGTTTGTTAGCAATGTATAACCAAATAAGACTAGAATGTTACCATAGGATTGTCAATATTCTACATCGTCACAGACATATTTATAGATGGCTGTTGAAAGATTTAAGTCCTGTATCAAAAATTAGGGTTTTGATATATTGATGACAAGTTTAAAGTGTTGAAATAGGAGCATATAGATAGTTCATTTGCATATATACATTTAATAGTCAAAGGAATTCAACTAGACCATGAATTAGAAAATGATCAAGGAGAATTAGAAATGTTGGATTACAGAATAAAACTGAAATAAAGTAGGAGTTTATACACTAGTTTCTTCATACTCAAATTGTTACTTGGACTCAGTTAAAGTAATTGAAACTTAGCTTGGTTAAATGTTTAAGTAACAGGGTCAACAAACTGACAAATAAGACGAGAGATTTAAGATAAGAAAATACATGAATCTCTATTATTATCATTAATTTTCCCTTGAGTTCCTAGTGGAATATAGAGCTTCAGTAGCATGTCTCCATTGCACTCACTTCTCTGCAGTTTTTTGAATCTGACTCCATGACTACCCACAACCTTTCATTTCCTCCTCACATAATCTCCTCTATGTCAGCCTCCCCTTGGACGTCCAACTCATCGTCTCTCCTTTGCATTCCACTCGACGACCCGGTCTGGCAGGTGATTTCCCCAGTCGGCCTTCTCAGTGTATGCCCAATCCATCTCCCCTTTCTTCTGCATATCTGTTGAGCAATAGGTTCTTGCTTCGTTGGTTCGTTCCTAGAGTTCCCCATTGCTTATTCTTTCTTGTCACCCATCTGATCTTCAGTATGGAGTGAGCGTAGGCGGCACCTAATGATGAATGTGTGCAGTTTATTGGAAGTTCTTTTCTTGACACGCCAAGTTTCTCAACCATATAGCAGCACTAACTTGACTTGATTTGTGTGGAAAATCCGGATATTGTTCACGCTTTATGCTGCGTAGAGTGCATTGGATGTCTACACTGATCTCAGATTAGTGAAAGCCTGTCTTGCATTTCCGATCCTGTGGGGTCAACCAGTGGGATGCGAAGTGGATGCTAACTGATGACCTTGAGTGACAGTCACGCTATGTCGTGAATTGACAGAAGTTGGAAATTGTGAACTAGTGGAAAGCGACCCAGTGGCTGAATGGTTAACGCGTTCACCGTGGAACCTGAAGGTCCTGAGTTCAATCTGTAGTCGGGTCGTTGGTGCGTACTGCTGAGGAGATCCATGCTAGAATGAAACAACTGTCCAGTGCTCTCAGATTTTCAATGGCTCCCTAACTAGATAAATTAAAGACATCTTACTCATTAACAATTATCCTCCAAAACTACTTGATACGTACCTTATGAATATAAGAAATTATGGCTAAAATTGTAGTACTCGTTGCTGATATGAATGGAAATAAGTAGTATATATTGAGAGGGTGGCAGAAATGCAACAGACAGCGTGGGTGTATTAAGAACATATCAAGATAGAAGTAGAAGAGGAGATGAAGCACATTATGTAAATGACTTAGTGCAATGTGTGCCATATTTGATTACTATTGTACAAGATGTCAACAATAAACATTCCCTTCCACGTCTCTATCTTCTCGTTCCCTACAATAACAGTATCATAGGTGTTAATAGAGGCAATAATGATGCTAATGGCAATAATGATGATACTGTGAGGACAGAACTCATAGTCCTCCCTACGAAACTGACATCAAGGTGAGGCAGTTAGAGACATGATATAGGATTCTCAATAACGCTTAGATTAAAGTGACATTTAAATCAACAAACTCACATAGAAATAAGCTTTGTAGGTCAAAAGATTCCATTGATCCAATGAGGCATAACAATTTAGTCAAGCAAATCCCTTGCAATTATTGAAAGGTCAAATACATAAGTGAAAGTAGTCGACTAGACCTGGTCGATTAAGTTATCGGAGCGAAAACATCTACCTAGGTCGAAATCAGTAGATCCTAGTAAAAGAAACAGCCAAAAAAAATGCTCGGCTATACCTATGCATGCAATTACACAAAATCATATAACAGGATGGTACAAATCGACTGTCATTGAAACTAATTTATTGGGGTGAAGGTTGAGATTGATAACAAACTCTTTGTTTATCGAATCAACAGCATGCAATGAGAATGATTCAACACCTTTCCCGGATACATATAAATTCCTACTATCTATATCACAAAGAATAAGGGAGAATTAGATGGAGAGAAAGATAGATATCTTGATATGACTATAGACAATAAATTGTGTTCGAAATATATTCCAGTAAATAAACCAACTGAACAATAGGAACAGAAATAATAATGATAGCAGAGGTGATAAGGTAATTGCATTTTCACTAAAAAATTTCAAGGGGAAATAGTAGTGTGACAGAATAGGAATAATGAATCTATTGTTACATATAGGAAATGAAAAAAGAGAGAGAAAAACGAAATATCAGTAAATCTGTCCATCGAAGCCTCTACTATGGTAAATTTAGAATGGCTACCATCTTTCTCTTGCTATATAGACTCGGTTTACAAACCAGGAGTGTACACGCTTCCATGATCATTAACATATTCTTGTCCCATTGACTACTAACACCTGTTGAACACCTTATTATCTTCTGTCTCATATTCGTAATAGAGCTTCTCAAGATTCTTACTTTAGCTATTTAGGTGAATAAATACTCAGTAGTGAGAGTAATAGTTTAACTTTAGATCAGTTGGTGTATAGGAACTAACTGAAAAGAAAATTATACTACGCTCAGTTTGTTGGTTTACTTAAAGATGAGAATTCCTACTCTACTTAAATATTATAAACTTGAAATGCATCTACCATCTTCTCAGTCAATAACCCATCCTATGCGGATGCCTGGATATTGCCTGTACTTTAATTATGTATAATAATGATGGATAGTGGCTAGCAGTGGAATCCAAAATGAGCATTTCATCTTATTTGGGACTTTCCAGCTGGATGTAACTACCTCCCATCCAACTGACTAGTCCTAAATAATAGGAAAGGCCTATCCTGGATTCTACTGATAGCGACTACTCATCATTACTAAACAAGTGAATTATTATTTGTTTTCGTTTCGTTTATACAGAATGCAGACTGGTTTCAACAGTATACTTGGGCATTATTCAAAGCTATGTCTCATATGCTTTCAATTGGATATGGTCGTTTTCCTCCGACAAGTATTGGTGAAGCTTGGATTACAATAGTTAGTATGATGAGTGGTGCCACGTGTTATGCATTATTTGTTGGTCATGCAGCAGCGCTTATACAATCATTTGATACATCTAAACGACTTTACAGAGAAAAGGTGAGTTCAGCTAAATGTTATATTTTACAGGCCATACATACAAAGCATACTTTAGTCGACTATGATGAAGATTATTACTATTATTTTTTTCTCCCTTTGGTTCCTAATAGAACATACAGCTTCAGTAGCACGTCTCCAGTGCACTGTGTTCTCTGCAATCTTTTAAACCTGTCACCACAACTGCTAAAAAGCTCTCATTTCTTCCTGGCACGGTCTCCTCCATGTCACCCTCGCCTCGGACGCCTAACTCGTCGCTTCAAACATATCCCCACGTTTACTTTCGCTCTCGTCGAGAGAAGATACATCAGCCAATTGGCTTCCTGAAGGCTTTCACCAACCGGCGTCCTTTTGCCTCTCCGATTCCATCGAGGAATCAGTTTGTTTTTATTTTTTATATTTTGTCTGTGCTTTGAAGTTTCTTTAGCGGTTGGATTGGTTTTACGGGTTCAGATTCAAATTGTTCAAACCGAATGGACAATAAAAATGTTTACCAAAGTAAACAGAGGTTGACTATAGTTTATTGAGTACTTATATCACATATTCGTGGTCACGTTCCTTGGAATTTTGGTCTGGGATATGTTACACTGGCTATGTTACATAATCATTCCAAGAAGTAGGGTTCTGCGCCGAACTTTTCAGTGATGAATCCACACTAATTCAACTCATACAGTCGAATTACTTAAGCTATCAAGATTCAGGTGATCTCAGTAAATCTGTCTCACTGAGGTGTTCAGGTATATCACTAAATAAAGGGAACTTCCATCAACTGTTAAGATCACTGTGATCTAGTTGCCAAAATCTTCAGACTAACATGAAGTTTTAACAAGCATACATCTGAGCAGACTTTGACACCATTTTGCGCTTTCTTAGTGCTGGTTGGCACGAACATACTCAGAGTTTCTAGTTCAGCCATACTAGCCAGATAAGTTGAATAAACTTTTAAATAAATATATTACTACTTCGAATATATTCGTGAAACCAGTTCTTTTGATTTGTGCTTCGTTATCAGTACTTACACGTTAGGTTAAGGTACTGGTTAAGCAAGTGCTAGAGCACAACATCAAGTTAAGCAGGGTTGATCAAACGTTACAGAATAGTAACACACCTATACACACTAACTTCACGTCAACTTCTACAGTTATAAAATCAATTTCGCTAACATAAACAGTCTAATTACAATTACAATTCAAATCTCTGGTTTAGATGTTGCCCTATTTCGTATGTTATTCTTCAGCAAACGTTACTAGACAGTTACATATCTATACATTTTCACATTCTTCCAAGATGAAATCCATTCTTGTTTACGTAATCATAAGAAAATTGATAGTTACAAGTATTTGCTTCCCAGCTTAAAGTTTGCACATAGCAAGAAGGAATGGAACGAATAAATTCACCAGCTGCTTCCAGTCTAAAATAGCTAATGGTTTAAACAATAAAGGTACATGATAAGGTGTATTGGGAAATTGTGTGATGGCACATAAAGTAATATGAAATTTGAGAAACCAAAGTATTGAGGAAGTCAAAATTCGATACCATCCAATGCTTCTGCTTATAGCAGTTGTCTTCACACCTGACAAGTCAAAGCTTCCCATAGGCAAAGAAGTAACTAGGGAGCATTGGGTTGCTGCCTAATCTGAGCTCTGAGCTCAGAGAACACAATACAACCGGGACCATCCACCTGATCTATAAATATTCACCATTATTTCAAAATCATACGAGCGCAGCACGTTTCACGTAGTTCGATGATAGGAGGACTTCTTCAGAAGGCAAGCTTCCACAAAAGAACAACTATTCTTTCTCCAAGAGTGCTGACATCAGTATGTTCTGCAGTTGATTGTTAGATATAAACCACTGATTAACTGCCAAATGGGATGGAAAATAACTGAATAAAGTGGGAGAGAAATGGTACAATTGATGATCACAGATACACACCACCGGATCCGGAAATACCGATCAGTGATTAACAGTCATAAGAGAAAACTAGAAAGCATACTCGCAACACATGATAACATTGACAACTACAATTGAAAAACTAAGCAGATGATACAAAGAACAATGAAGAAAAGTTCTCAGGAAAAAAGTTGCTCAAAATCTCAGAAGCACCTACAACCGAGGAAACAAACGACTGTGTTGCCAACTTATCAAAACAATCACCAACGAAAATGGAAGAACTTCTGCTTCAAAAAGATTGAATTACAACACAAGAGATACCTTCAAACCAGAATTCTTTACGGCATTAGAAATGCTGCCTAAAACATTAGGATTAAATGAGGTCACTCAACAAGAAATACTGCAAACAACCGTACCACTGAATAGGGAGGAGATACATCACACTAAAACGAAAGCTCAATAAAGCAAAACAATAAAAAGACTGAAAAAAATGGAAAAAATATAATTATATTTCCAGAAGACAACGACGAACTATGGTAGTCATAGACAAAGAAGACCTTATCAACAAGGCAGAAGAATTACTCAAAGATGAGTGCTGATATGAGGTGTGGCAACTCGGACCGTTACGCAGTAATGCCTGGTCCTATGTTGATAATGATGATGATGATGACTCAAAGATGAAACCAACCCTAACCAAAAGTTCGACAAACAGATCTATAAAACCCTGAACAAATTCTTCATACTCTTTGTCTGAACATTTACTGATTACTGACTGATCTGAATGTCAAGCTTCTAGGAATTCTCTGATATTCCTTGTATTTTCGATCTCTGTCTCCAAGATTTCTACATTGTCAAAATTCAATTCATCTTCATAGTTGTTATCCACGTGGATTGAGCAACGGTTGATGAAATGTCATGATGTTCAATAGCCAATCAGTGTTCATGAAAACGAAGGCAAAGAGGGCGGTCACTTTCTCCAATGTAGTGTTAACCATGATTATTGCAGCTGATTTTGTAAATGAGATATCCGAATAGTCTTCTTTGGTTGTTACATCCATTGGTCTGCATAATAGTGTTTGTAGGGAATTTGTTAGTGTATCAGCCACACTAATTCTAGGTGATCTCAGTAATCTTGTCTTGATTTCTCTTATATTCTTTATGTACGATAGGATGATGCATTCGTTCATTTCTATGGATTATTTTGTAGTTAATGATATACGGGATAGGCATCTAGTGATGAAGTTCCGTGGGTAACGGTTTTTCTTTAAGATGGAAATCAAGTAATTTTCTTCGTTTCACTGTGAAGTTGTTGTACTGCTGCGTGTTCTCGCTCTTTTGAATAGAGTTTGCAAGCAGTTGATCTTGTGCATTGTTGAGTTGTTGCTAGTGTAGTTGAGGATTTGATCAGTGGGTTTCCAGCTTACCGGCATTTGTTCTACCGACCATAACATGTAGGAGTGGTTGTTAGATGTTCGATTCCTTTTTGATTGTGTATTGGACAATGTAGAAATCTTGGAGGGGGAGAGGGAATATAAAGAGTATCAGAGAATTCCTAGAAGCTTGGCATTCACATCAGTCAGCAATCGGATGTATAGATCTAGACCCAATCTATCAACCAATGAGAAAAATGATCAACAACAGAAAGGTCAGAAGTTAAGCAGAGGAACGTACGACAGGAAAACCTATACAGATAATGACACAACAATCAAATGAAACAACCAATCACAAACCAGTTTGTCAGCGCAAGCTACTGAATGACTGACAGAGAGATATTTACAGCTGGTTTCATACTTAAGTTTGCTCTATCAGTGTCGTCTAGAAAGACGATGAAAGCTTCACGATAAACCAACTTAGCTTAGAGAAGGCAATACAACCAAGAATTTAAACCTTTTTATTGTTTTTATCAACGTTTATAAAAGGAGTAAATTTACATTCTTATAAGATGATACCACACAATGTTATGTCCACTCCATTCATCAGTACTGTTGACCACACTTTATTATTATTATTTGTCGCTTGGGTTCCTAGTGGAATATTGGGATACAGTAGCACGTCTCCATTCCACTCTGTTCTCTGCAATCTTTTCAACCTGACACCACAACAATCCAGAAGCTCTCATTTCTTCCTCACACGATCTCCTCCATGTCACTCTCGAACGTCCAACTCGTCGTTTCCCCTCTGGGTTTCACTCATGGGCCTGAAGCGTGATGTTTCCGAATGGTCTTCTCAGTGTATGCCCAACTTAATCCACCTTGACTTTTGTCTCCTGCATATTTCTTCGGTGATAGATTCTAGGTTGGTTGGTCGCCATGCCAGCGTTCCTTGTTGTTTATTATTTCTGGCCATCCATCTGATCTTCAGTAACGAGCCAGATTAGGCAGTTATTGATGAATATCTGGAATTTGTTGGAAATACTTTTCGTAACATGACAAGTCTCTGAAACATATAAAAGGACTGACGTGACTGGATTGGTTTTGAAAATCTGGATGTTGTTCACCTTTTATGCTGAATGCAGTGCAGTAGGTCTCCAAGCTGATTTCAGGTTAATGAGCGCCTGTCTTGCTGGCTTTCGGATCATGACTGGCTTTGACATCCTCGTCTGTGCCTCTGCTGCCTGTAGTTGAAACGATGCTTCCTAGATAGGTATAAATGAAAGAGGCTACTTTCTTTAGATTTCTCCCCTTGATAGTGATTGGTTCTGGTTGTTGTTGTTGTTGGTGGTGGTGGTGGTGTTGGTTGGGTATCTTCATCACATCTGTCTCGGTCTTCTCTACATTCATTTGAAGTCCCGTCTCCATTCGCTGCCCTGCCTCTTCTATCAACTTGTTGGATTTTGCAAGTAGATCTTTTCCCAGGTCCATGATTACTATTGATCACACTGCTATAATGGAATTTTATTACCTCATTTGACGCTGCATTTTTTAAGTTTAGTATCTAGTTTTGTGACAGTATGTAACACTGTTTATGTCAGCTTATAAATGTCACCCTCATTGGAAGTGACTATTGGTTTTGTCACCTATTTTGTTCCAGTGTGAAGTTAATTGTTTATTCAAAAAGGGAGGCTTTAGAAAATGGAGGTAAGGAATTTGGATATGATGGAAAAACTTTGTAATTCAGGATGATGATGATGATGATGATGATGATGATGATGATGATGATGGAATTTTGGTGTTCTCTGAGTTAGAAGTTCCATCATTAGGACTTCTACCATACTCAGTACTAAATTCACAGAGAAATCAAGTATATTTGAGTATTACATTAAAGTTTAAGCAGAGTTTTTTTTTGATTGAACATCAGTGTTGTCTTCGACCTAAAATTGGAGAGAATCTATGTTTCACTTGATAATTTATTCAGTAATGCATATGTAAGCTTAGAAAAAAGAAAAGTAGTGATGTGAGCAATGATTAAGACATGACTTAGAAGAAATTCATAAGCTCTATCATGTGTCTATGTAAGGAGGAGACAGCAATAACCCTACATAGGATTAGGAGGGCTTTCAAACCTACAAACCTTCTGAGTAGAACGCTTTCATTTGAAGGTTTCTATAAATGCAATCAAAAACATAATTTAATTTGGCATATACATTGTAATGACTTTAAGGTCAAGTACATAGGTCAAACTGGCTTATCTACATCAGTCAGATTAGCAGAACAGTGAAGTCTTCATTTGTACACTTCAGTAAAATGAGTAATCTGGAAAAGAATTCAGTCATACCTACACATACTATATATAACCCGAAACCATACTATAGAGTGTTACAAAGTAACTTTCGTAAGATCAATACAGAAAATTAGGAAAAGAATTCAATTACTTGGTCTTTATTTACTGATTCAATGTCTTAGGTTCGATCCTAGCTGGCGGGAGGTGGCTGGTAAACACATTACTGAGCAATCTCCCACTAAGCCTAAACATCTGTCATCAAATATTGTTCATGAAGTAATATGACTTCATGATGAATATTACTCCTGAATCAATGAATCCTTATAATTTATCCACTAAATTTAATTTATTTTTATCTATCTTATGATATTCTTTTTAATCCATTTAGTTTAAACAAGTTGAAGAATATATGGCTTATCGTAAATTACCAAGAGCATTACGTCAAAGAATAGCAAATTATTATGAACATCGATATCAAGGTAAAATGTTCGATGAAGCACAGATATTGAATGAATTTTCTGAATGTCTTCGTGAAGTAAGTAGATTTAAACTGAATGGTATAATATTTAAGATTTTCAATGATAAAGACTTTTTAATTTTAGGTTAGTATACATTATGAATTGGTATCAGTTAAAGGAACATTGAATAATTGAGAATATTGAGTAGTTGTTGTTGTTCTATTATAGGTGACTTAAAGAGTTCACATGTATAGTCGTTGGTTTGTTTCCTGATGAAGTCGTGTGTATTCACTACTGAATAGTTGCATATTAGAATGAATCAACTGTTTAGTTCTTCCAGTTAGTATATGAAAGGGTAAAGAATGAGGAAGTATCCTCTGGTCAACGAAGAGATAACGAATGTAAAAACGTTTTTTCAATACAAAGACTAGAGTTATCTATATAGATGCAAGACTAGATTTGTTTACTTGATTTATAACACATAGTGAGTGATCTAGTATTATTTACTTCATAAAATTTCGAGCATAAATTATCATCATTCATGATCATATCAATGTAATCACACACTACTTTCGACATTTGATCTTTATGGTTACGTCACTCTATATGAGTTGATTTTATTGGTAGTAAAATTTTTTATATTTCTGGTCAAAGTGTTGCGTCATTTCTATTCCACAAGTGTTGGATGTTGATTCGATGAATTTAGTCACAGAACTAAGATATCGGTTGATGAAACCATATTCGGTGTATAGTCGTGCCTGACCTATACAGTCTTCAAGTTTTAGGACAAACAGAAGGAGTAGCATTAGGATCACCAATATCCTTAATCGTTGCAGATATATCACTGGATAATTGCGAAAACATGATTTCACATACGTATACTCCTACACCTAAGATCTGGTGGCTATATATGGATGACACGTTCACTACTATGTTGAAATCGGAACATATTGACAATTTCCTCATGCATATAAACTCAGTAGTTGAGGCAATCCAATTCACTCACGAAGAGGTAGAAAATGAAGAAGGAGAATTACCTATGTTAGATTGTAGAATAAAAAGAAGGATAGAAGGTGGTTTGAATATCACCGTCTACAGAGAACCAACACATTCCAACAGGTATCTAGACTGCAGGTCATCTCATCCAATGTCAGTAAACAAGGGATTGAAACACATAAAAGAAGCTCCAATAATAATAATAATCATTATCCTTCACAGTTTATTAGGAATTCGTATGGACACACAAGAAACGAAATAATGATAGTAACACGAGTGTGAATAATAACTACAATAAGAGTAGAAAGTAATTCATAGCCTCCATTGTGTTATCATATGAGGAAGGTACATCAGAAACTCTACATAGAATCCTCAACAAAGTTGGAATTAGACTGGTATTCAAACCTTCAAACTCACAGAGAGATATGCTTTGTCAGCTGGCCTAAGTATCCGATAGAACCAATTAAGCGAAATAATCAGTTCTATCAAATTCCTTGTAATGACACTGAGGTCAAGTTCATAGGTCAAACTAGTCGATTGGGGTCAGATAGAACAGCGGAACATAGGAATTTAGCTAAATATAGAACGACAGACCCGGATAAAATCAATAATTTTGAAGATAAGTCAGCTATTACAATGCACGCATTACACACACACACACTCACACAACTACACAATAGGATGGGTGGGACGAAGTCACTGTACTTCAGTTCAATATGATTAGGTGGAGATTGAGAGAGATTGATTACTGAATCTTTGTTCATGGGATCAGCCAACACCCAACACATGTAACAGAAATGACGCAGCACATCTAAATCGAAGATATGGAGGATTTTACTGTCAATAAAAACAAATCAAATGAGGTGACATTACTATGAAAATCAAATGTCGAGGGTTTGCAGTGAACAATCTTGAAAGTATTGTTTTTTTCATCTGTCAAGTTCCCACTATCAGTGGGATAAGATATAACAGAACTTCTGATGGATGTCCCCTTCCTAAACATGAAAGTAGACAATCAGTAATACATCTGTTAAATTGTTTTGTGACACGCTGGAAAATGATAGACAGATTTGTACAGTATAGAACGTCCTTTAAATGACTCTAAAAAGCCTCTAATATAAAACTCTGGTTGCATCTCTGTTAAATGGTAATCTTATGAACATGAGATTCTTTTGAACACGAAACACTTACGCTACTTAGTGGTGACAAAATAAACCTGACTAGTCAACTCCAATCGATACTGGGAACTGATTACCACACAGTGCCATATATAGGTGACCAAATTGTGAACATCATGAAATCTTAAAAATCGGTCATTCATAAACTGCATAGTCTAAAAATGAAATCTTTGACTTTGACATCCCCGACCGAAAAGTAGCTTCACTATGGGTCCAAGCACGTATGCGCTTTCCATTATGTAGTAAAAAAACAGACGTTATCTGATAATTGTGATGTATTAGCACAATACTTTCCAAACTGACTGGTCACTCGTCAAGTTATTTTGTATGAAAGGTGAAAAAAGGATGGTGTAGAATGAAGCTTTCATTTCTTCTTCACATCATCTCCATGTCACCCACCAAAGGCCAATTCTTCGTAACCCATTTGTATTCAACTCGGGGACCAAGCCTGATGTGTGATGTCCCCAATCGGTCTTCTCAGTATGTGTCCAATCCATCTCCACTTTCTTCTGCATATTTGTCGGGTGATAGGTTCTCGCTTCATTGGTTCGTCGCCATGCCAGAGTTGCTTGTTGCTTATTCTTATTATTCTGGCCATCGTAGGCAGCTGTTGATGAATGTCTGCAGTTTGTTGCAAATGCTTTCGTGACACACCAAGTTTCTCAACAACATAGCAAAACTCACTTGACTAGATTGATGTTGAAAATCCGGATCTTGTTCACGCTTTATGCTGCGTAGAGCGCAGTAGATCTGCACACTGATTTCATATTAGTGAAAGCCTGTCTTGCTGTCTTCCCGATCCTGACTGCCTTTGACATCCTTGTCTGTGCCTTTGCCGCCTGTAGTTGAAACGATGCTGCCTAGGCAGTTAGGTGAAAGAGACTACTTCCTTAAGAATTCTCCCGTTGATAGTGACTGGTGCATGTTGTTGAGGTCGTTGTTGGTTGAATATCTTCATCACCTCTGTCTTCTCTATGTTCACTTGAAGTACCGTCTCCCTTCGCTGTCTCTTCTGTCCACTTGTTGGATTTTGAATGTAGATTTCAAGTTTGTGTGACATTAGACACAATTCATCGTCGTGATCCAAACCTTCTAAAGTCTTTTCATTGGTCCAGCCAGCGTATGCCCATCATCTTGCTCCTCACGGTTTGCTGCATGATCTAGTCGACCACAATCGGGAAGATCATGGGTGATAGTGGACAGTCTTGGTTTACTCCTGTCATCAATTCAGAGGCATCACTAAGCTTTCCATTGTGAATTGCTTGGCATGCGGTCTCGTCATATAGCTATTGAGTTAGATTGGTAAAGATTAATGTAATTCCGTAGCGTTGAAGCAGCCGTCAAATTACTTCTCGATCGACGCTATCCAAGGCCTTTTCAAAGTCGATGAAGTTGAGGTACATGTATTATGGACTGCCATTCTAAGCTCTGTTCTATGATGATGCGTAGTATAGCGCTGCAATTTGATCCGCATATGATTTGTTCTTCCTGAAGACAGACAATCAACCAAACAGCCAGCCAGCCTGTTCCAGTCGTAATGTTGAATCCAGAGTATTTTTCAGTCTCTCATTCGACGATGATACAGTTTAATATTTTGCTTGCGCTGGATAGGAGTGAGCATGATTCCACGCCAGTTCTTGCAAAGACATAGATCGCCCTCTTTTGAGCGTTTGACGAGGTAGCCCTTCTTCCAGTCGATCGACAGGTATTCTTCCTCCCTCCCTTCCATACCTTCTGCAGTAGTGGCGTCGTGTCAGCATGTCCGCTGATGTCTCTGTGTCTGTTTCCAGTGCTTGTGTAGGGATTTCATGTGGTGCTGCTTCTTTTCCGTATTTCACTAACTTCATGGTGTTCAGGACTTCTGATCTTGTTGGAAGATTTGTGTTCACTAGTAATTCTGTGGTTGCTGATGGTATATCTGGAAGAGTTGCAGGTGGTGGTAGTTTCCGGTTCGAGAATCTTTGAATTGGTCAGTCCATTGGCTCATTTGGTTTATCCTAATGGGCAGAAGTTATTACGTCGTACAATACGGTGTATTGAAGTAGACAAGTTCATTTGAAATAAGTATATTACTTTTCACACTGACTTATCTTTCTGCTTCTATGATTTATCAGTTTTTCTAAATGGATTCATTAAGAAAATGTTTCATTGATTTACGTACGTATCATAAGCATATAACAGTCTATTAAGGAATAAAAGAGTTATAGTTCCATCATTTATTATTTAGTTACTTATTCTTCCCGTGGGCTCCTAGTGGAACATATCGCTTCATTAGAACGTCGCAACTGCACTCTCTTCCCAGCAGTCTTTTCAACCCGGCTCCATGACTGCCCACAACCTTCCATTTCTTCTTCTCACCATCTCCTCCATGTCACCGTCGGACGCAAAACTCGCCGTTTCCAATATCAGTCCCACTCGATGGTCTGGCCTGGCATATGATGTCTCTAAACGGTTTTCTCAGCGAATGTACAATCCAATCCATCTACACTATCTTCTGAATATCTGTTGGGCGATAGCCACTTGCTTGGTTCGTTGACAGGTTACAGTCCTACGTTGCTAATTCTTACTATTCTGGTCATCCACCTGATCTTCAATATCGAGTGAGCGTAAGTAGCAGCTGTTGATCACATACGTTACTAGTTTATTGGAGATGCTTTCCACAACGCGTCAAGTCTCTCAAATTTCACATACTGACCTACTTGGTTGACATTAGTGTTCCAAATCCGAATTTTTTTCACACTCTATGCTGAGTGCAGTATATCTCTACACTGATTTTAAATTATTGGAGGAAGACCTGTCTTGCTATCTCTCCAATGGTGGCTTTGACATCGTCTTCTGTGCCACCATCGCCCCCTGTATTTGAGACGATGATGCTTATGTAGGTGGGTAGGTGGTTGAAAGAG